GGAACATTGCATAAGTGGATATGCGCTATAGAAATGCAACCCATTATTATTATTTTATTTTCCTTTAAGAGCAAAACATTTTGAAACATTCCTTGCTGTCTTTTTTTCGGATTTTAAAAAATCCGGACTGTCTGTCAAGGTGGTCCTTAACTTATGTTGAAGGATGCAGAACAGAGTGACATTTTGAGTGACTGCACTGACAAATGTCGCACGACGCGGTTGAATCAGACTCTCGTCAATTTTGGGGCATACGGAGTTAATGATATCATCTTAAGGCCTGTCCATTTCCCTTGTTTCGGGTGAAAATAATACCCATTACCCATCTATGTTGAATAGAAATCAAGATATGTGTGATTGAAGGAGGTGGGGGCCACCTGATTTCAGAGAGAAAATTAGAGAGAAAAAGGTCGCCAAAGTTGAGTTATTTCATTAGCTTGAGAGTCCGTGGAAGCTGAAACTTTATATTTCTTCCTCCTTTAATCAACGTGCTCTTTTTATAATGGGCGTGAACGGTGTTGAACCCCCAAAAAAAGGAAAAAGAAAGAAAAATTCGATTAAAATGCCCAAACCTGCAGGAAAATGCCAATTTCTTGACTTTCATTATTTTGACGAGCGAGTGATTTCAGCACTCCGCCTAACAAATTAAACTACACGCATGAGTCCCCAAGTGGCGCAGGGTGATGATGATGATAGGACATGAGCTGAATGAGTAATACATGTACTAATAATACAGTTACACACATACAGACAAACACAAAGACACACACAAAGACACACACACACACACACACACACACACACACACGCTCAGATAAACACAAACAGACATGAACACAAATAGATGTACACAAACACACACCTACACAAACACCCACACGCGCACTCTCAAATACACATAAACACACATAAACACACATGCACAAACACAAACACAAAGACACACACACGCACGCAAACACAAGCACTCTCAGACACACACACACACACACACACACACACA